GCATGAGAGTCTCATAAGGAGTGAGACCTAGATCCCTCGCATGCGCAGTTTACAGTAGGGTTCTTGCTCCTTTGAGAATCTAATGCTGCCGCTGATATGTGGAGAGGCCGAGCTTGCAAATGATGGGGGAGCTTGCCAGCAATGGGGAGCAGCTCGCTCACCTCCTGCTGTGTGCCATGGGGAGGGGCAAGATGAGGGGTTGGGGACAGCAGTATTACACTGCTAAAATCACTGTAGGAATTTAAATCTTTCATTCTTCTATGTAAGTTTTAGAAGCATTTTGTCATTTCTTTATCAAAGAATCTCTAAGAATAAATGATTACTATATCAGCTAAGGTGCTTTAGGCTGCAAATAACTGAAAGTCCAATTCTGAGAGGCTTAAACAATAAAGGGATTCATTGGCTTTCATAACCGTGAGTCCAAAGGCAGATCAAATTTCAGGGTTGCTTGAAACAATGGCCCATCGATGTCATTAATAACCCGTGTATTTCCATTCCCTGCCTCCCAGCTCTCCCATTCACTGTGTCGGGTTCACCCTACAGTGAGGTATCCTCATGGGAATAGGATGACTGCCAGAAGCAACCTCGGTCACTGCATCCTCATTCACATCTAGCAGAAGACTAGAAGCCACCAGCAAACCACTTTTTGTGTGTCATTAGCCTGAATCCTATCATCTACCCATCCTCTTATCAATCCCAACTAAGGATAGAACTATGTGCTTCATCAGGGGCAGCCACAGAAGTGGCATGGAATGGATGTTGGGGAGATAATCACAATTTTCAATACAATTAGAATTGCTTTAAATGCATTAATTAATTTGAAATGAACTTATATCTTTATAACATGGCATCTTTTCATTCAAAACATAACACCTCTTCCCATTTATTCAAGTTTTCTGCTTTTCTAACATATATTCCAGTAAGGGCTTATAGTTGTCTTCATATATACTCTGCACAGAATCTATTTATCACATCTGTTTATTCAATTCTAGATGTTTTCATTTAGGGACCTATCATGAATAGGATCTTATTTTCTGTTATATTTTCTACTTACTTGTATGATTTAGGATTTTTTTCTTTTTTTTTTTTATTTTAAACATGCTTTAGAAATGGGACCATTATCCTATGTGAAGAACCTCAGAAATGCAAAAACAAACATGTGCTCACTCATACCTGGGAGCTAAACGGTGGGCACACAAGACACAAAGAGATGTAAAGGACACTGGAAACCAAGAAGGGGAGAGAGGGTGGGAGGAGAGGGATAAAAACTTACCTATCAGGTACAATGAACACTATTCAGGTGATGAGCACACGGAAAGCCCTGACTTAAGCACTATGGAAGCTATCCATGTAACAAAAACATTTGTATCCCCTTGACACTTTGAAATAAAATAAAATAAACTAGCTTAAGCAGGAAAGTTTATTGGTACATGTAACTAGAAGTCCTAGACAGTATATGCCTTCAGACCTAAGGAAGAGGCCTGCTGCCTGGGGCTCACACTGTCTAGAGCCCCCACATACAGAGGCACAAAAAAGTTAATTTATTAAGAAATACATGAGTGCCTCTGTCACTCAGGATGTGGCACTTAGAACTGGCAAATGCAATCCTCAATGCTAAACATCCACTCTCTTGACTAGTGCTACTCAGGACCCTGGGAAATGTTTCTCCTTATCTCTCGCCCTGTGTCCTCAAAATAAAAAAAATCACTGTTTCCAAATGTTGTACTACTGTGACTTTGGAGACAGACCCTGCTTCCAACTGTTGGGAGGACCTAAATGCTTAGGGTGAAAGAAATGACAAATTACCTCTTCAAATTCTTCCTCTTGGATAGAACAAATGCAATAGACTCTTGCATAAGGAAGTATCTTTCTAGAAGTGCTGAGCATCTATCATCTTGCTTCTCTTTGGTTTCCAAACTGTGGTTCTAGAGAAATAACTCACATTACTCTTAAATGTGTAAATTTGAAGATATAGCTATAATATGCTCAAGGTATAATACCAATTCTTTACATTGGTCACTAGATCCTCATGTAGCACCAAAATTAAGAATAATACTATCATGAAAATATAATAAGATTAAATTGTAACATTAAATTTTTAAGTGATCAAATTTTAAACAGATTTATTTAAATAATTTTATTTCAATTTTTCTATTCATTAATTATAATCTGTAGTTCATCTGAATATTGATAATTTCAAATATTTTAGACTAGAAGATAAATGACATTTCTAAAAATATAGAACATTTAATCTTTCAAATGTTTGCAACTGTTTTAATTTATATTTTTGATGAAATATATTTAAATTAGGCATATTTTGAATATAATGTTTTTAAAATATTTTAGATTATTACTGTGACTAGAACAAAAATTAAGTGAATATCTTCATTATAAATAATAAAATTAGTGATTTTGCTGGAATGAAAGCAATGAAACTAAATTTTATAGAATTATGACTCACATTACTTTATATTATCATTCATCCAAAAATGCTAACACATAACACCCAGACATGCATAATCCTTATTAAATCTAATCATTGTTTATATTTTGTTAACTTACAGTCATGTAAAAACCATAGCTTTACAATTTTTATTTATATTTTCAATTTTGTTGTCATGGAAGGTTTATTTACCAAAGCAGGGGTATAGAACATATTTCATTTAACAGCTTACTACCTTAATTTAAAACTCAATATTTAAAAATAAGACCTCCATTCATGCCCTTACCCAGACTCTATACCTGTCAGGGGAGGGCCTGGTCCTGGCTTGTATGTACATGGCCTCACTCATGGCTGGATCCAGCGATCCCATGACGTTGTCCAGGTAGGATGGCTGCCATATCCCAGCCCAGCAACCCTAGGAGGAAGCAGGCTTCATTCCCCAATGCTCATTAGTCCTGCTTGTATCCCATGCTTATCCCCAGGCTAACCACAGTACTCAGGGAATCTGGGGCCATGACCTGACCAGCAGCATTTTGTGCCCACCCTGTGTCTGGGAGCCGGTAGGGGCACATGGAGTAGAGAAGAGGCAGTTCTCTAAAGAAAGGATGGTGGCAGTTAACAAAATTAAATCCATCATATTGAAACCTATGGCAGCTTCTTAATTATGCAAATTTTGTACCTTTTAATCTTACTGATCTCTTATTTTCTGTTGGTTTTTTGTGTTTTTTTTTTAGGTAGACAATACTATAAAATGCAAACAATGTTAGGCCTGTCTCCTGCTTTACAATATTTATCATTACATTTCTTTTGCTTTCCTTATTAGACTGTCTTAAACTCTCCAAACGCTGTTAAATGGTGGCGACGGCAAACATCTAAATCTTATTCCTAGCTTGAGTTGGATTTGCCTTTAGTATTTCATATTAAACATCATTCATGGTGATGTTGGCTTAATATAGATACTCTGCATCATTTCCATGTGAGGTTATTTCCAGAGCTACGTGGCCAGGTCTCCCTGGCAAGGGGAACCTGAGTCCACACCAATGTGGGCACTGCCACTGTAGACACACAATACTCCAAGACAAGGAAACCCTTCCACTTGGTTCAACAAACTTATAAACTCAAAGAGTTACTGCCAGTTGTGTGACTCTGCATGATTGAATCGCTGCTTTCTTCCTCCAAGCCTAAGACAATCCAGAAGTCTGTCCAAACGTCAAATGGTGGTCATAAATTTTATCTTCTATTTTTTGGTTCCTTTGTTATTTTTAGTGGGGGGATGGTGGAAGTTTACAGTGGGCACATAAATAATCTTTTAGGGTTTTTCAAGAGAGGGTCCATCAGATTTAAGAGTTATGGCCCATGTTTTATGCATTTTTGCATTTTTATTTCACAACAAGAAAAAAAGTTAAACATAAAATGTGCATACCAACGGGGTAAAAAGTCATTACTGCTAGTCAGGAGAACCACTGATGAGAAATGGCTTTGTGAGTCACAGCCAAATAAGATCAATAAGTAAACCCTGATGAGGCAGGGATAGTATATATTTTATTCACGATTGTATCACAGAGACTGGCACATAGTAAGTGCTCAATAAATATTTGATGAGTCGAATTGATTCAAAGATGTATAAAAAAATTTCCTGAAATTAAGTCATTGGAAAATGGAGATTGCAGAATTCAGGTTATGGTATAATTTTAAGGGAGGAAATTAATATTTATTTGGGGCTTGGTGGAAAGTAATGCTTACAATGCTAGGAATTTTCTCTGATTTAATTCCACAACCACTATAAGTAGCAGGGGTTATCATAACATTCTTGGTTTTGCTATTATTACATTTTCAGTCTGTCATGGTGTTCAGGGAGGTAAAGAAACCTGTACAAGGTCATAGAGCTGGACTTCAAATCTCGCTCTGTGTCACTCTATTCAAGGACACTACCTTCTACAACACAGAATATAAGGTTCGCATTTATCCCTGCCCCTCTTACGCTCTTTCGACATCCTGTTAATTTCGTTCTAGGACTTGTTGCAATTCATAATTACCTTGCTTATTTGTTAATGATCTGATTCCCTTGAGAGATGCAGGTGCTTTGAGAGTAGGAAATTTTTCCAGCTTGTTCATAGCCATATCCAAGTACTTTGAACATAGTAGGTTCTTAGTAAATATTTACTGAATGCAATGAATAAATGAATAGACTCAAGTGCTTTTTATGATACTAAAGGAAGGTTAACCTAAGAGATCTGCTATGGTGTGAATGTTTATGTCCCTCCAAAATTCACATGTTGAAACCTAATCCGCAGTATGAGGGTAACTGGAGGTGGGTCCTTTGGAAGGTGATTAGAATGAGATTAGTGTCCTTAAAAACAGGCCCCAGAGAGCTCCCTCACTCCTTCCTCCATGTGAGGACACAGCAAGAAGATGACTGTCTATGAACCAAAAGGCAAACCCTCATCTGATGCTGAATCTGCCAGCACCTTGATCTTGGACATCCCAGGCTCCAGAACTGTGAGAAATAAACTTCTGTTGTTTACAAGCCACCCAATCTATAGTAATTTGTTATAGCAGCGTAACTGAGGCAAGATCTTACAAAGGGTCCCTGAGCAATGAAGACAACTAGCAGCCCAGAATTTAAAAGTTTATGGCTACTTTGTTTCAAACTCATTCTCTTTCCTTAAAACACTCCTCCTAGCGTTTTCAATCATGATGCTATTCTTACACAAGCTATGTGGTGCTCAAACTATTAATAACTTCTCTTTCAAATATTTCACACTAAATTATGTGTATTTTTTCTAGCATTACAAGCACACAAGTAATATAAAAAAAAGTCACCAACTCCATTATTCAGTATCCAAAGCAAAATCTGACCCAAAAAACATAAAAGATCTTAGATTCGAGTAAAAGTGTTGTTTACACCAGTTAGTTCAGCTGTCTTAAGGGCCTAGAACTAGAGACTTTACAGTGGTAACTTTGGGGAACACCCTTGCTTGCTTCTGTGGTAGCTACAGAGTACAGCCAGCCAACCATCTTGCAAATAAATACATTTCCTTAGTCATTATAAACACTACACAAAAGAAATCAAATAGATTAGAACAAATGTCTTTTCATTATTGAATAAACAACTCAAGGTTCATCGTCTACTCATAATATTAATAGTCATTTGAAAAAGTATTTACTGGAAGTGTTCAATGGCATAATAAATGCTTTGATATACTGTGATAAAAATCAGCATAAAAACTGTATATACACTTCAACAACAGGGAATTAGTTAAGGAAACACTGGTCGGTCTACATGGAACTGTACACAGACAATAAAAATCATGTTTTAGAAGAATATTTAAGAAGTAGGGAAATGCGTTCACAGTTCATCTTTGTATCAGTCATGGTCCCGCCAGGAACAGATAGCTCTAACAGGTGACTGAGAAGAGTGACTATTTGAAAAGGTGCAGGCAGGGATAAGGAACCCAAGGAGAGATGGTGAAGCCCCCCAGGGCTAGCAACATGGGAGTCCTTACCACTCTTAGGCCTGAAAGAGCAGGGAGGAAGCAACTATTGAGCAAAACACAGTAACACCTGTAGCTATAGAAGACCGCACGGCAGGAGCTGTGGACTTGGTGGAATGATGCCTCTTCCAACCCACGGCCTGGCAAGGAGGCATCTGGGAAACAAATGCTTCAGTCAGTCTGTCTTCCCACCACGGGATGGCCTATCAGTGCCTTCCCCTGGCAGCATCCATCCCAGAGGGCAAGGGAGCCTTTAGAGGTCAGCCTCCCAGAGCACAGCTGGACGGAGGAGGGCGGAGCGTGGATCTGGAGGAGTAAATGGAGAACACTCCACCTAACACTAAGTGGAAAGCACAGTATTACAATGTAATCCTGAATTTGCAAATATACGCATGATGTCACAGGTCAGGTTCCCTGGCAAAGAGATTGGGAGATTTACGTGCAGGTGTGTCAGGATGCGCTCTCGGAAATAGTACTGGGAGCGGGGAGGCAGGACCGTCAGAGGGAGAGGGGAACTGTGACGCGGTTGCAGCAGGGGCCTTGGTGACGCCCACATGGAGCGCTGGAGCTGGGATGGCCCTTCAGAGCTGTCACAATCGAGGCAAGGAGGCTGGGCTTGAGTAGCCCCCCAACCACAGATTACTGGATGCAGGCTTCCCTGTGAGGCCAGGGGCGACGCCCGGATAGCACCATTAGCAGCTACGCTCCAGGCACTGGGTGGGTATGTTATCCTAAATGGGCAGGGAGGTTCATCACAACATCCCCCAAGATATCAGTTAACCATGGCTGACTCTGCATGGCAAGTTATGGATATTTTTTCCTTTTTTTTTTTTTTAATACTTTTGTATTGTTCCAAATGTTCTAAAAGAAATATTGTATGTTGAGATACAGAGCAATTCAGATGTCACAGAGAGACTTAGTGGCTTAAATGAATTGGAATGTGTTGGCCTGTCCTACAAGAGTCCAGACAAGCAGTCCACAGCTGGTGTGACAGCTGAACAACCATCAGGGATACTTTGTCCTTCTGTCTGGTTTCTCTGCCACCCTTGATAATGTGGCTTCCATCTCACGGTTCCAGATGGCTGCTCTAGTTCCTGCCTTCACATCCATATTCCAGCAGGGAGGGGGAAGAGAACAGTGGAGGGCACTTTCCCTTCAAGGGCACAACCCGGTTAGGCCCTAAGGGCTCTTCCCTCGTGAATGGGATTCAGGCCCTATGAAAGAGGCTTCATGCAGCATTGTCCTTCTACTTCCCACCTCCATGTGAGCACACAGCATTCTCCCCTCCAGAGGATGAAGGAATGAGATGTCATCTTGGAACCAGGGAGCAGGCCTCACCAGACAACTGGACCTGCCAACACCTTCGTCTCGGACTTCTGAGCCTCCAGAACCGTGAGAAAGTAAATTTCTGTTCTTTATAAATTACCTAGTCTCAGGAATTTAATGAACTAGGAAAATGAATCAAGGTACTTAAATGAATAGAGCATTTGGGATCCCATTAGGTTTACAGAAAGTTTGAATGAACTACTTTGGGTCCCTTGCTAATCAATGCTTGATTAATAACTGCCTGTGTGTGTGCCTGAATTTTGCCTGAATCCTGTTTTTGTTACTACCTGGTAGCTAGTTTGTGAGAGAGTGGCTAAGCACACCACCTTCAACCTCGCTGATAGCTATTATTATTCATCAAAAAGAACCTAAGAGTTATGCATATTTAGCTTCCGAGATCAGACGAGATCGGGCGGGCGCGTTCAGGATGGTGTGGCCGTAGACAAGTTATGCATATTTAAAGTGGCTTAGACTCAATTTGCAACACATACTCTGCTAACCAAATCCTGCGGATATCAAAAGAGAGGATATGATTCTTATGTTTCCAGAATAATCTATTTATTCTGAATTTAGAGGAATATTTTTCTATCATACTTTTAGGCATTTATTAATTTCTACATTTGAAAATTCTTCCCTTCCACTCCACTTTAGCAATTCATTCATTATAATAAACCTGCAGTAAGTACCAGCCAATCAATGTTTTTCATCAAGAGTTAGCAGACTCTAGCCTGTAGGCCAAATCTGCCTGCCATCTTTTATATTGCCCACAAGCTAAGGGTGGTTTTTATATATTTAAATAGTTAGAAAAAAATCAAAAGAATAATATTATTCATGGCATGGGAAAATTATGTGAAATTTAGATTTCAATGTCCATATATGAAGTTTTATTGAACACAGCTTCATTTATTTGTTTACATAGCATCTTTGGCTGTGTTGGGGCTACAACAGCAGATTTAAGTAGTTTCAACAGATTTTTGAAGTCCATGAATCCTAAACTATTTGCTATGTGGTCGTTTACAGAAAAAAAGTTTGACAACTGCTTTCTTGATGATAGGGATATACCATTGAATACATCAGTACATAGGCCCAATTCTTACGGAGCATAGATTTTGGAGGGAGACAGACAATAAGCAAATAAATACAAATATCTCCAATGGTAGTTAAGTGCTATGGTGAAAATAAGAGTGAAGTGAAAGGAAGTTGCACCAGCCAAGTGGTGGATCTGAATGAAGAAGACGCCCATGTGCAGATGGGTAAGAACATGCCAGGTGAGGTCCCTCAGGGGACTCCCCAAGCTGAGAGTGTTAAGGAGCAAGGAAATGACTATGGGGGGTGACTGACAGGAGAGTATACGTGCTCCCTGTGCCTCCACTGTCAGAGACAACAAGAATCTCTCTGGAACTCAGTGAGTGGCAGAAGAGTCATTAGTAACCAGTTGGTCAATGTAAAAGACACAGCACCAGAAGGAAGACAGGCTGGGAGATCAGACCATCTTCCTCCATTCACACACCCAGAAGAGGTAGCAACAAATCTGCAAAACCCTCTCTTTCCTCCCACTTTTCATCTCTAAAGTATCTGAGAAAAGCTGTAACTGAGTGGAAATCAGTTCGGGTAACATGTAAACCTCGTATTATGCAAGGTTCATAAGCCACAATTCATAGGTACAGGAGCAAGAGAGTCCTAAAGTTCAGTTTCACCGACTCAGCAGCAGACAGCTCCTACTCCGGGTGTGGGAGCCACGTTTGTCTCCACACCCATTCCCTGTCATGGTTACGTACATCCTTGAGACCTCAGCCAGCCTGCTCCACAAGGAGCAGGGACAAGGACAAGGGGACAAGGAACTTCAACCCAGGCCATCACTTCTGTTGCTACAAATGTGTTCACGAATAAAGCACGTGATCACACCAACCAACTTCAACCTTAAAAGCTTTGCTTAACGCACCCAATTTTTGTGTTATCTGCAAGTATATATGTGTGTGTGTGTTTAAATATTAAACCATATTTAATGACCATGGTTAGAGGGAATATGAATTTTTAAAACCAATATTCCAATTAGCACAGGCAAAGAAAGCCACTGCTTTTTAAAGAAAAACAAGCCTCTCGAAAGAGGAGAAAGAAATGTAATTAGAAATGTATTAAGGACCAAAAAGCTGTTTTTAACTCGTTTCCTAAGAAACCAAAAATAGAACTGACAAGTACAACTTCCAAAGCAGCTTAGATCTACTTACTCTATTATTAAAGTTTCCAGTACAAAATTTTTAGAATCACTAGTGAAAAAAGATCTCACATGGAATAATATTAAGTTCTTCTAGTTAATTTTGTTTGTAATGCTTCTACTAGTGAAAATTAACCTTCATGAGCAAAGAAAATGCCAGGGTTTCTCTCAAACAGGTTAGTAATATATTTAGCAACCAACATCACATTGTAATTCTTATATAACCACAAATGACACCAAGATAGTCTGCTAAATTTGTGGACATAATAGCTTTCTGGCAGTTAAATTTACTTAATAAAAAGACATAAATTTGATCATCAGGAATTAAAACTCTTAGTAGACAGTAACAGCTCCTTCCTTGACAACATTCCCTATTCCAGTGGTTATCTTCCGTGCTGGGAGGAAACGTGTGACTGCAAACTGAGCTCCTGTATTTCTTCATGTTTAAGGCCCTTGGGGGCAGTTTCATGAGATGGAAAGGGTCCCTATTTGGGGCTGGACAGCAGACATGAAGGACACAGCCATTCCCCAACAAAGCAGCTCTGGGGGCAGAGGCTGCACGAGGTTAACCGTGAGAGGGACTCCCACTCGGAGGGCCAAGCGGGGATCACACACACAGAGCGCACGTGCCCAGGGGCAGCTCTGAGAGCATGCAACACGTAGCCCCCCGAACCGTCTTGCCGGCCCCCCCCCCATAACCAGCTGCTCCAGTAAACGACGGAAGTGACTCTGGAGTTTGTACCTGTGACTGACCTGAATGGGGCTGCACCTCACAGGGCAGCGAGGTGGTGGCTGTGTCAGGCAGGAATTACTGAGACCTGCAGCGGGTCTGCAGGACAGCAAATTAGGACTCTAGGAGACCCTCCCCCAACCTTTGCCTGTATAACTGTGTTCCGTGCAAGGAGTTCCAGGACCTCAGACGATAAGGTCAAGAGACCAAGAGTACAAAGCATATCCTCCTTCCTTTTGCCTATCCAAATCCTAATCTTTCCTTCTCAAATACCCTGTTATGAAACCGTATCACAGTCCCTGCCCCTCAAGACTTTTCTGTCTAGCTGGAGATACGAACACGCTTCCTACCACCTAAGAGATTGTGTCTCTTCTGTGATTGAAAACTGTTTTAATAAACACTTTTGTAACAGGATTTGGGGATAAAACTTTTCTGATTGCCTAGAATTGGCAGCCAATTATCATTAGGTGTCACCAAATTCTTGGGTACAAATATACAATTAGACAGGGGAAAAAAAGGCCTAATGTTCTATAGATCAGTACAGCTAACACAAATCTATTGTACATTTAAAATAGCTAGAAGACAATAATTGGAATCTTCCTAGCATAAAGACAAATATGTACGGTGATGGATATCCCAATTACCCTGATTTGATCTTTATGCTTTTCAGCAGTCCCCAACCTTTCTGGCACCAAGGACCAGTTTCATGGAAAACAATTTTTCCACGGATGGGGGTACGGGGGCAGGGGAGACGGAGCTCAGGCAGTGACGCGAGTGATGGGGGTTGGGGGGAGCTCTGTGGCCCAGTTCCTAACAGGCCACAGCCCAGGTACCAGTCCATGGTCCAGGGGCTGCAGACCACAGCTTTATATGAATGTATCAAATTATCACATAAACCCTAAAAATATGTATATCTTATTATGTATCAATTTAAAAAACAGAAAAGTATCACCAAATTCTAACAGGTACCATGAACAGCTGGAACCAGATTCCTCCTTGGGGGCTTCTTAGGAGGCCAGTGAGCAGCTGCACCTTTCCTAGGCTTTAAAGGAGTATGAGGAGGGGGAGCCTTGTAAGTTCCGTGTTCTTGGGGAATACATGACCTCACTTAGCAGTGAACACAATTTACATAATTCTAAAAATATAAAAACTGATTGCTGATGCATTTACCCAAAGGTCATGTATAACCATACGAGGGAAATGAGGGAAGGAAAGAATAGTATAAGTAGTATAAGAGAGTTATATCTTTATCTACCATAATAGAAAGTCAATAGATTCACCTAGCATAATAGAAAGTCATTAGATAATATCTAAAGCTAATGATTCAAGAGATACCAGTAATTTTGAAACTGGGACGAATATCCAAAGAAATCACTAAACAGTTGTTGAAGACTAGGATGGACCAAGTTGAAGAGGGTGTGGTTGGTGTTTTTTGATATGTGACTTATTATTACTTTTTTTTAAAAGAGAGACAGAGTCTTGTTATGTTGCCCAGGCTGAACTCTAATTCCTGGGCTCAAACGATCCTCCCACCTCAGTCTTCCAAGTAGCTGGAACTACAGGTGCACACCACTGTGCCTTGTGACTATTTGACTCTTTTTTTTTTTTATTTCAGCATATTATGGGGGTATAAATGTTAAGGTTACGTATATTGCCCATGCCCCCCCCTCTTTAAACATGCAAGTATTATTTAAAAAACAAAACTTAGAGAAATAGAATACAATGTTTTGTTTTAGGGGAAAAAACACAATTTTTGTAGACCTTTCATGTGTGCTGTTGGTAAAAAAAAAAAAAGTCTAGAATAACATGGATATGGCTGGTAGCTAGTCTTAAATCAAATTCCTATAGGTTGAGGAGTGTTTATTGAGTATTTCGAATAAAGGAGAGGATTTCTATCAGTAATGTCCATAGATTAGAAACTGAAGTCCAGGGGGACTGCGGGGAGGCTCTCATGGGTGTGCTCCAAATGTCACAGAAGCAAATAAAAACCAGATAGACCTAACAAAGAAGAATAACACACAGGGTCACAAAAACTCACGAATGCACTGGCCATTTGGTGCTGGCACAAATGGTGCTACCCATGTTAACTGGCCCTGGAAGATTCACAGCTGAAATATATACTGGAGACATTAAAAAAAAAAAAAATTAACATCTGCTAAATAGCTTCCATCTGGGGGGAATAAGAAGTAAGTGTAACATACTCTGGAAAGAATACCATCTAGACTGGTTTAGGTTGAAAAATTCTTCTGCAACATTCCTAATTAGCTCCTCAGGCAGCAAAACCAACCTTTACAAATCCCAACAAGTTTACAGGAATGGAAACTGATGCCAAAAAGAAAGCTTTGGCTCATCTGACCAGTGTTTCACCTCACCCTGGTTGTCCATATTTATATGCCACTGAGGTGGAAGCACACACTGAAAATTTTCCCTTTGTCATCCTCAGCTATCCAGAAAATGACAATACTTAAAAGTTTATTTCTGATGGTTACAGATACAAACTATATTATCTATAATAATATATCCTCTACAGTACTAGTGTTTTATCATCCATTTTACATTTTCCCAAGAGATACTTTATATTCATTTTCACAGCTCTTTATTAAATTTATTATTTCTTAGTTTAATTCAATGATTACTACCATATCTATTTTTAAATAACTCAGCAGATATATAACAATTAACTCTACTATACCTGTCTAAATATTATCCTAGCAATGTATCTAAATTTATATTAATAACACTTCCCTTGGTGACATCCAATTACTTTTTATGGTTTCTAACTCACCATTTATATGTTGCTTTTTTCCTTTATTGGACACTCTGATGTAGCAGTTCGACACAGTGGTCTTGTCTGGGGAATGTTTGATGGAGCCCATGGGAATAGTGGACATTTTGACAAAATAGTTTTGAGAAATGTACATTGAAAAATATAGATCTAATTTTTGTTACAAATTGCAGTAATAATTGGGGTGGGGAAATGGGATGAAGTTCTAGAATGGCATGGGGCCCAGAAACAGGATGAAGATTCCTGTCTTGCATATTAAATGGCAGTTCTTAAAAGTTGACTTGTTATTTGACTATTCCAGATTCAAATGTATCAGCACAGACTGACAAAAGATTATATAGCCATTAATCGCCAAATTTCTTTAGATATCTCCTACCCACCTCTCTTCCTACTGGATTATTCTTTATGGCAGTATGGAGTATTTTAAATAAAATTATGGACAGCATAACATTTCACCAAAATACTCCAATATACAGCTCTAAAAAATTAAGGACATTTTGCTGCATAACCTTCAAGGAGGTGTCTGGTGTCCTTATTTCCTTATCATACCTAACAAATTTAACACTAATTCTTTAATGTTCTTTAATACCCAGGCCATATTCCAATGCCCCCAATAGTTCCTCCTCCAACTGTCTTTTACAGCTAGGTTTACCCAATATGAAAAAAAAAAAAAATCAGTGTCTATACAGTATTTGTGACACAAATATAGAAAATATAACAACTGTGAAATCTGCCATGGGTGGTATTATGCTATTCCCTCATTTTCCTATGTATTTAAAATATTATTTCCAAAAAATTTGCATCCATTACATCTTTATAAATGTCTATAAATGTATAAGAGGATGGAAGTTTCTAGAGTATGCTACTGGGCCCTGTCCTGTTCAACATTGTCATCAATTATTTAGACAGAATCATACAGAAATCATGATTATCAAAGTTCTCAGTTGATGAGCTGGGAGAAATAATGAATGTGTTACATAACTGAATCAAGATCCAAAAATATTTTGAGAAAATGAAATAACAAGGACTGGTGAGGAAATGAGTGGTGATACACTGGATGTCTTTTTATGTTCTGTAAGAGCTGGAAGCCAAAGGTCACAGGTTGACAGATGCAGTAATGAGGAAGGGTCTTATGGATTACTGTCTAGCACTTGTGATGGCTAGATCAAACATATTTGATTTTTTTTAAAGGTTTTAAAAAATATTTTTAAAGCAATTTTTTTAAAAAAGGGTTACAGCTCTTTTAGAATTTGTGTAGCAGGTTTTCTAGTTTTTACTGGAAAACCCCTCATGAAAAAGATTTTAAAATTAAAATAAATAAAATTTAAAATAGGCTCCCTTACCAAGAGGGCCCACTGCCCTCCCAGCCTGTGAGCTGCACGTGTCTGCTCTGTCAGATGAGCATTATCAGGGCTTCAGGGTGGTAAGTGTGAAACCAGGGGATGGGAGAGGGGGTGGTATGGATGGTGGGTGTACAAAAGCCAAATTGCTGTAGAATCTTGATATAAGTTTCCATTTTGATGGGAAAACTTCAAGGTGAGTAAGTAGTAAGGTAGCCTAACCCTCTTGCTGGTGGGAGGGTAAAACACCTATTCAGGAGTCCAATTCAGGCACTGGGTCCAGCCCCCCAGGCAGAGATTACCTAGTCTTGTGTTTGACAGATTTCTCAAGACAGAAGTGTCGGCCAAACCGTAGATGCAGATGTGATTTGACCAACAGAACAAAGTCACTGTATCAAAATGGAGATCACCATGGCATTGACAAGGGAAGCAGGAGGATCTCAGTGTCCAAGAAGGGTAAAGTCCTTTACACAGCTCCCAAGACTTTTCTGGATCAAATCCTCCCCGTCTTGCTTCATTCTGTACACATATTCTTCTGTGTTCACCCATCCACCCACCTCAAGTCCTTGAAGGCAGAGACTGTATTACTCGTCTTTGTATTCACGGTTCCCAGCACTGCCTGACACATAGTAGATACTTTGTAAACATTTGTGGAATGGATGAATGCTTGCCCGGGGGATACAGGTAATAATCAGATGCAGCAGCTCACACTGTATCAGAGACTTGGCAGAGCCTCTGGTGCTCTCGAGGCACCACCATGGCCAAGGTGAGCATCCCCACCTTGGTCTCCTTCACTGGCCAACCAGGCAGCACAACGTCAACAGTTGAGGCTGCACCTAGATAAGCACAATAAGAATGGGACACTACTGGACCCACAGATCAGGCCCTAACATTGCTGGATGATTGCCTACACTGGAATGTAAACCTTCGAACTTCTAACAGAGTGTCTAGTGAGAATGTTTGGTGGTACTAAGGTGTTTTCTGCAACAAGTCAGGCTGGGTGGCTCTGACTCAATGTGTTCGCTGGGTTCCTAGCACTTTTAAAGAGAAAATTCTCTGCAAAATGGCCAGTAATTGTTGCTGAATAGGCCCTGGATATCCTGCAGAAGAGGTAGGAGGCGGCCCACGGAAAGGCAAGTGCAGGGGCTCTGCCGCCCCACGTCTCCTCTCCAGCCTGGGGCACTGTGGTCGGATCAGATCAGCCTGTGAACCACCTTATGACAGAGGGGGCATGGTGCTACCTGGCATTCATTGTCTTCAAGTGTTCCCTCCGCCTCAAGTCTTAGAGAACTTTGGTTGTCTCTAAACTGTGTGTGCGAGACAGAGAAGGTAGGGGTTGAGAGAGAGAAAAAAAAAGATGCTAGATGACTTCTCAGGTCCCTTCTGGATCTAAAATGTTGAGATGATTGTTCTGAAAGCACTAACAATGGATTTCCAGCTTTGGAATCTGTGACTAGCAGTATTCAAAACATATTCATGATTGCAGGAAGTAAGGCAGAGGATCCCTAAGTGGAGATACAAAACTAAAAAGGAAAGTGCGAGTGAAATATATAAACTTCAAATCATTAGAAAGGCAATACCACTTAAGCCACCTAGTCCGTACAGTGTCTCTAAGATGGTCAATTGGAAAGTAAGGCTCTTTGCTACAAGAGGCACTTAAAAAGGACATATAGTCCCAAACACTCCAGGTTTTCATTTATATAGATTAATTTTTCTTAACTTCTCTTTAATCCACATATATTTTCAGTTTATATTGCCCTTTAGCCAATCGTCTTATTTTATTTCTTTCCTTCAGTCTTTCTCGCACCCCTAAACATCAATGCAGTTGCCTACCAAGTGTTTCTGCCTCTGGTTCATCCTGCATGTTCCACTAATGACTCCTCCCAAATCATCGTTACCCTGCCCCCAGCTCAAAGCATTCTTCAGCGGCACCCTGGTGCACAAGGAATTAAGTCAAAACTCATAAGCCTGGCGGTTAAGTCCTCACTAATCCGGCTCTGGCTCGCTTTTATAATCTTACACAAGAAGTCAAGCTCCACGTAGTCTGGACCACTCCCCAGTCCCGTGTGCACCCCTGGCTCACTCCTGGGAGCTGCGCTGTGGCCCATGCCATCTCTTCTGTTACGGAGCACCCCCCTTCCCTCTCCTCTGAATATCCAAATTCCACCCACCCCACAAAGGGCATAGGTTTTATTTCCTTAGATTGTAATCTCCTCAAGATCAAGGACTTTATATATTTTTTAAAAAATTTCCTAAAGTGCCTAGCACAATGCTTCCCATGGTAGGTGCTTAATAAATAATCAGTAATCAATGAACAATTCCAAACATTTATGAACCACTTTTGAACATTTATGAACCATTTATGAACCATTGTCTGAAATTACTTTTGTCTGAAAACATTCCCAAACTTCAGGATTTTCTCTCTAGCTTCATAATGCTATGAATGAGTTAGTTTCTCAATTAAAAAATACTGCAGTCCTCAAGGGTGGCCACTGCTGATTATAATAGAGCGTCTCCGAGACAGATCCTGGCAAACAATCCCCTCTTGTAGCATTTAATCAGAATGAGTCACTTTAAACTAGACAAGAGAGCATTATATTCCAGAAATTGCCTCTTTGCAATGTGATTGAAAAGGAAAAACTCATTGACTTTAGGCATGCTAAACCAAACGCATAAACTCATAAATTAGAGATGAGACTTCCATATGGGCATGGGTATAGTCTTACCACGTGCCATTTGGGTGGTCAATTTCCTCACTACTCAGAATATGATCCACAGACAAGCAAACTCCACACTGCTTGGGAGTGTGTTAGAAATTCAGAACATCAAGTGCCACTTCAAACTTACTCAGTGAAAATTCTGCCTTTTAACAAAATCCCTGGGTGATTTGAAAAGCCATGACAAACCCAAACTGAGCACACTGACTACACAGAAGGAATTTTTTGATGTAGGTGCCAGTGAGTATATGATTTTTATCCTTTCAAAATAGCCTTTACCAATTTGATTGAACACAAATTGGCAGGCCCTGCTCCCAGGGATTTTGGTTCAGTGTTCTGGGTGGGACCCAAGAACCTGCATTTGGAACAAACTTCCTTCCAGGTGAGGCTGACGGTGCTGCTGCTGGTCTAGGAACCACAGGACTGGTACACCATTTAAACATAACAGGCTTCGGCCAGGCGCAGTGACTCACACCTGTAATCCTAGCTCTCTGGGAGGCCGAGGCGGGTGGATTGCTCAAGGTCAGGAGTTCGAAACCAGCCTAAGAGCAAGACCCCCATCTCTACTATAAATAGAAATTAATTGGACAACTAATATATATAGAAAAAATTAGCCGGGCATGGTGGCACATGCCTGCAGTCCCAGCTACTTGGGAGGCTGAGGCAGAAGGATTGCTTGAGCCCAGGAGTTTGAGGTTGCTGTGAACAAGGCTGAAGCCAGGGCACTCTAGCCCGGGCAACAGAGTGAGACTCTGTCTCAAAAAATGAAAATTTAAAAAAAAAATTAAAAAATAACAGACTTCATATTTGGGGAATTTTGCTGCAAGTGCACTCCTAATAGGAAAATACCGAGCTAGTAAAAAGGGAAGAGAGGAAAAGAAGTGGCAGCAAATGTTTATGTTACAAGAAGGTAGCTGTTAACACTCCTTTGTACACAATGGGGTAAAAATAGCTGACAGAATTACTATAGCTACAGCTGTATTGCCCCAGAGACTTTCTCTACTGCGTTATTCATAAAGGCAGACCCATCTTATAGAAAGTCTGTTTCAACATTGAGACTTTTCAGAAACAATAAACATCAGAAACTTATCCCATTTGTTAAACACTATGAGATAAAACACAAATTTGAGATGGATTTGAAAATGACTCTCTGAGGCCTGAATTTGGATTTGGTCCAGCAATGAGACAAAAATATAAGTGTTTATATGGCTATGAAACAAGAAGAAAAGGAGAGCTGGGAAATGTTGAAAATATTGTAAATTTTTAAATTTTTTTTAAAAAAATCCCCAGTTTCTTTTTTAAAACAAAGACTCTCGAAATTATAAATAATATATAAAAACCAAAGAGCTCCACCTAGAGTTTGAAAAAAGGGTATTCTTATTATTTATACACACACACGAATAAAAAAGCACTATTTACCCATATGACATCTATATTCTTTTCATTAATGTTGACAACATATATTTTTACATGATCTGTATGAAAGGGAAAACTTGCTAAAGTGTGAAATACTGTTAATGTAAAAGAAAACTGAATTTTTATAGCACTGTAACCTATTTTTCTTCTTAAAATTTGGCAATTATGTTTGTCACTGTGAATGATTATTTTAAGGCAAATTATTAAAAAGCTGGGATAGTGTTTAAAGCACGGTGGAGAAGAGAGCTTATAACATTGATTCAGAAGACGCAGGTCTTACCTGAACTTGCTGTAGCTTCTTGAGCAGCTCCTCTTCTAGTCCTGAGTTTTCTCATCAATAGGGCTTAGACAAGATCAGTGGTTCTCAGACCCATCTGCACATGGGAAACGCCTGGGAGCACTGGAAATAACTGGATGCCTGGGTTTGAGCCCCAGAGATTCTGATTTAGTTTTTTTGCAGGGAGGAGGGTTTGCAACCTAGTTGCCTTAGAAAAGTCCCTACATGATTCTAATGCACAGATTGGCCGCACCAGACTGGATGACCTCCAAACTCTTTTACCCTTAAGTGTCTGCTGCTGCAGTTCAGTGTTCCTCAAGCTTTCCTACAGACCAGAGTCACCTGGAGGGCTTGTTAAATCATAGATTCCTGGAGCCTACCCCCAGGGCTTCAGATTTAGTAGGTCCAAGGTAGAGGTGGAGCCCAAGAGTATGCGTTTCTAACAAGTTGCCAGGTAATGCTTATGCTACTGATCCAGGGTCATAACTTTGAGAATCATTGTTCTAGGTGATTTTAAAATTATATTTTCCAATTTCCCAAATTATTTTTACTCTCCTTTATCAAAGCACAGTAGGATGTGGCTAATTAGTCTCTCTGACTCCAATCTGTCTTCCTCCAGATCTTTGCCCACACTACCAACACAGTTAATAACCTAACCCACAAACCCTATAGTGTCACTCACTGGCCTGAAACTTTTCAATGACTCCCTATTGCTGACAGAAGAAAGGACACATTAACGTGACATACAAGGCTTTTCACAGTTTCACCCCAATCCGCCCCAGCTCAATTTCCAATAGTCCATGTCATCCACCTGTGTTCCAGTCACTTGTCCCCAAACACACAACAAAGGCTCCTTCAGCTCAGTGCCTTTGTACCTATTCTCTTCTCCTGGAATGTCCACATTCCACCTTCTCTTTCTTTTTTTATTTTTTTTTTTTTGAGACAGAGTCTCACCTTGTTGCCCAGGCTAGAGTGAGTGCCGTGGCGTCAGCCTAGCTCACAGCAACCTCAAACTCCTGGGCTCAAGTGATCCTACTGTCTCAGCCTCCCAAGTAGCTGGGACTACAGGCATGTGCCACCATGCCCGGCTAATTTTTTCTATATATGTATTAGTTGGCCAATTAATTTCTTTCTATTTATAGTAGAGACGGGGTCTCACTCTTGCTCAGGCTGGTTTCGAACTCCTGACCTTGAGCAATCCACCCGCCTCTGCCTCCCAGAGTGCTAGAATTACAGGCGTGAGCCACCGCGCCCGGCCACCACCTTCTCTTTATGACATACTTGTCGCCACTCATTCTGTGCCAGATACTATGCCAGGCATTGGGAATTCAAGGAAGAATGGGACAATTCCTGCCTTTAAGGAGCTTATAGTCTTGAGAAGTGTGGTAGGCACTGCAAAATGGCAAACCCGACACCAGTCTTAACACTGCCCCCCCCCCTTACCTTACCTGTGGCCAGAAACTCTAATCACTGCTAGGGACAACCAATGGCACACACAAGTGCTGCAAGTTCTGGGCAAGAGTTTGCTTTCCAGATAAAAAGGAACAGAGCCAGAGCCATCCTTTCCTCCAGCCTTGAGTGCGGGCGCAATGCTGAAAGCTGAGGCAGCCACCTTGCCACCACGAGGGAAAGGACAAGAGACTCCTAAAGTGGATGGTCAGCTGAGCAAGCACCAACAGCTACTAACCTCCAGGCTCCTTTATATTTGAGAAGAACAAACCACCATTTGTTGTAGCCACTTATTCACAGATTTTCTGTTATTTTACAGCTGAAAGCCATTTGTTTACAGATTTTCTCTGAGGGTGGAGGTAGGGGATACTAAGCAAGTAATGCTTTCACGGCACCTGTGCTAAGTGACAGGAGCAAGCAGAGCATGCAGTGAGAGGCTGTGACAGGGAAGCAACCGTCAGCGAGGCCTGAAGAATGAGGCATCCACTCCAGGCAGAGGGAAGAGCTCCTGAGAAAGTCCTAGGGGAGGAAGAGCGCTGTGTAGAAGGACTGAAAAGCCAATGTGAGAAGAGCAGCGAAGAAGCCAGGAGAGGCAGGGCCGGTCTCCTCCCCCAGCACTTGCTTCCCAAACGCTGCCCTTGCACTTTCCATCGTGTGCCAGGCTCACCTGTTTTCCTCTTTCACCACAGTGAGACTGTTTGGACTGTTCACAATACCCTTAATCATCTTTGTGCCCCCCAGCACGTAACAGAGGGACACGGAAAAACATAATAAATATTTGCTGAATGAAAAAATTCTCACAATAAAATATCTCAACTATTAAAAAAGCATCCTAAAAAGTCATAATCCA